TGAGGAGCCTTTCTTGTCCTCCCGAGAAGGCCGGTGCCCGGCCTCGCCTCACCCAGCGTCCTGTGGTCCTACAGGCCCCCCTCTGCCCTGGACTTCGGCTCCTTGCCTTTCTCTTTCAGACTCTTCCTCTGGCTCTGTTCCACCCAGTTCAGTTCTTGGGCCTGAGATCTGTTGTCCTAACCCCAGGGTGTGCGTGGGTTGGATGGAGCCCTCAGTCTCAGTCATCACGTAAACCCTTTGATGTCAGTAAAGCCCTGGGAGCAGCAGCTGAGCGCTGGGACATCCCTGCTCACCTCGCGGGGAAATGGCCTCAGCCACTCACAGGGAACCGCAGTGACTGACCATAGCCACTTAATGCACACGCAGAGCAGAGGCACTGGCGGTTTTGCAACCATCATTAAAATCTCTTTCCTGACCTTTGCTTTCTAGGTGATTGAAAACTCAGCCTCAAAACAAAAAATTCACTAGTTATGGTAAGCTGTTTTCCTGTTTCTTCATTGTTTGTGGTGGCGCTGAGGGGACTCAGGCAGAGGAGTTATTCTGTGGTTCTGCCTGTGGGCTGGGCCCATAGGAATGGGCAGAGCCATGGAGAGGCCCCGGCAGGTTCCCAGCCAGCCCAGACCCAGGCCACGTGCTTGGGGACAGACCTAGACCCTCCACCTCGTCACCTTTGCATTACTGGCTGGGAAGACCCGCATCCCTCACGCAGGTGCAGTTGCCCTGTTCCCTTGCCCCTCACTGGGAAAAGCCAACCTGGCTCACAGCAGCCGAGCCCAGGGGCCTTTGATAAACATCTGGGAAGGGAGAGGCCCGGTGCCCAGCACAGGCACCTCAGGAGAGCGGAGCCTTGCTCCCTCCCCGTCCCATCCTGGCCCCTGTGCTGCTGTTTGCGCCCCGAGGTCGCACTGAGCTGGAGCCGGCACCCACCCAACACCCACTGTACAAAACCGTGGGAAGGTGGCCGAGTGGCAGATCAGGACCTCAGAGCTGCAGGGCTGTGTTGGGTCAATTCTCACAGGGGTCCTGGGAGAGTCACTGGTTTTATACCTGACCCCTGTGGACCTAAAGGGGACAGCGAATCATTTTTCCCTTGAAAGGAAACTTTGTCCAAATGTGTCTGTCACATGTAGTCAGCAAGAAGAATTTAAAATGAATTTCCAAGTGAAGAGTCTGTGGATTAACTGGCCGTTAATTAACAGGCTTTATCAATGTGTCCTCAAGGGAGAGGCCCAACCCTAAGGAAGGAGGTAAACTTCCCAAGTGAGGGGCTGTGAGGACGGAGGTGGAGGAGGCAGCTGGGGGCTGGCGGCGGCGGGGCCCAGCAGATGGCGCCTCCCTGGCTGAGCCGCTCGCACCACCAGTTCCCTCACTTCCACCCAGGAAGGCAGAGTGACCTCCTCAGGGAAGAGCTTCCCCAGCCTTCTGGAGCAGTTGGCAGGGCGTCCGGAATAAGCCCTAGGCACCGCCGCCGCCTGCCTCCAACTCACTAACCCGGCGCCTCTTGTCTTTCAGATTCAACGCATTCAACAGAAGCCATCCCCAGCCCAGCTTAAATTATAAAGATAGAAAATAACTCTGTTCCAATCTGCGTGGTGCTTCTTTAGTAAATACTGTACAGATTTTACCATGGAGAACTTTTTTTTTAGTTTTTACCTTTTCTTAATTACCCTTATTCCGAATGGATGAACACTTTCTACCACTGCTGACCATTGTAAAATACCGTGTATATAAATCCCATTGAAATAATGCCCTGGAATAGAACATCTCAAATGCTGCTTAATTACAGACTCAGGTCGATTACTTGTATTTCATGTAATGTTCCTCCAAGTTAGACATCTGGTGCAAGACCAACCGGGAGACCATGGAATTGTCAAAAGTACAAACTGACAGTGTGTATATTTAATTTAAAGACTTATTTAAAAACTCACAAGCTCTCACCTAGACTTTGGAGAGCAGTCTGTTTTCTGTAATGTCTGATACTAGAAACTAATTTGCTTATTTTAGTTGTATTCAAGATTTGAAGATGTATTTTATAGACAAGTTCTGTTTTTGAACTTTGTGGAACTGTTCCAATCAATTTCCCAGTTATGATGAGTATTTACATTATGAATGTATAACCCAGACATGATTTGTAAAGTCGACAGTATGTTTCTATTACACAACACTTTTTGATACAGCGTCTCTTGTCTTCACTGATACTGGAGTCTCCGTTGTCTGCTTGGTCCCTTCGAGTTTCTAGTTACAGACACAATCATACTGTGATTTTATTTTTAATATGGATATGCTATCAAACTGTGATACACTTATAATTCACTGGTCCTGCATCAGGAGATGGAGTGGGGAAAACTGTATTTAATACAGTTTGTATCTGAATAATCTGTATGGTTTATACAGTTTGTGTTGTTCAGAGATGTTTAAAGTTTGATCTTTGTTTTTTTAAAGATTAAAAAAGCACTTGCCCCACTGTAAATATACAGCATGTAAAATTTCTATAGTATATAAATGGCAGCAAATCACACACTTGGCGTCTTTTTACTGCTGTTTTCCCCATTTGCTTCCAGACTCCTTCCTGTCATCTGAATTCACTTTCTTAAAACCTTCAAGTGCTCCTGCTGAAGTCAGTACCTTCGGCCAGGCCATCCCACCTGGGACGGGCAAAGGAAAACTGGAGGGGTGTTTGCTGGACCCAACAATATCTGTTGGAAAGAACCAAGTCTCAGACAGGCTTGTTTTAACAATACATGTGATTTTTATTTAGTGAACACAGTATTTGCAAGAGCACTGACAGCCATCCACCCTCCAATCTTACTGTTCACTTTACAACC